TCGAGCCTATACAGCTTGGAGTAAGACAACATGCATGAAGAGGATGATGTGGACAAAATACTCATTTGCCTAATAATTCTGCACTCCCTGTATATAAACAGTGGAGCATTAGACAGCTATGTGCTTCAGCACAGTCATTCAGCAGAGCTTTGGGCCTGGGGTGGACCTGCCAGTACAGTTCACTGCAGACTAGTTCTCTTGTAGTTCCACATTTTGGATTTATATATAATGCTAAATGCTCGCATAAAGGCCTAGTTGCATTATGGTGTCAACATGTGTAGGCTTACACTTTTTCCAAACTGATTACGAATCACTGAAGGAAAAACAACTATAAACAGAGTAAAAGGTAACATTCAGTACAGTGCAAAATACCCATCATTATCTAGCCTTGTGCAGACTACAAGTCCTGGTTTCCTGTGTTTCTTGTGCTGACATAAATAAAAAAAGGTTCTCCGACTGATATACCAGAGTCTATTACCTCCTGTTAAAATATAAAATCACTCTATATAACTCATCTGTGTCCTTGTGCTCCCTCAGAGTCTCCTGCAGCGCTGCCACTCTGCACGGGCCTCTTATCTCTTCCAGCAGGACAAGTTCTACGATGTCAGCTACGACACGGGGGACAAGTCGGTGCAGTGTAGCAGGAAGCCAGATGCTTTCAAAATCTGGCTCATGTGGAAGGCTTTGGGAAGCAAAGAGCTGGAGCAGAGGGTGGACAGAGCCCTCGCCATGGCAAGGTCAGTCTGAGGAACCATGGGCTGCAGATAAATATCACAGTGACCGCATGGCAATATTTACTAAATCAGCTCATCACAGAAATAGGAACCAAAAATGTATGTAGTGGTCCTTCACACCACAGAAGTATTGCTCATTCATGGAATACAGGCTTAGCAGCATAAATTACAGAAAAATAGACCCAGCAGTGCTTCATGCACAGAGACTGAGGACTGCTGTGAACTAACTGCTCTAACTTTAACTGACAAAATGAAACTATGTGCACGACTGTGGGGACTAAGCTGGTGCACAGTGCACTCTAGTGGCCATTTCTGTGAATGACCTCAGTAATAAGCAAAAATGTGGAATGGCATTATTATCATTTCTGTTTAATTTCAATAAAATAAAAATAATAAAAATGCAAAATATGCAGTAACATTATAATAAATTACTTAATTAATGAAAAATATTACTCTTTTTAAAATGATTGGCTAGCACACGATACAACCCCTAGGCTATATAGTGCATTCTCAATGCATTTTACAGATATATTTGCTTTAATAAATCAAAAATATCTAGTTAATTATCGATATGAAAGACTAATGATTGAATTAAAAAAACAGTTACTTTATTATTAACCCCAATTCTGAACATATTGTGATAAATGCAAAGACTTTCCCTATGACAGCTGGGACAGGCTCCACTCCTAAGACTAAGTATTATTATGGCTTGTATGTTGAGCGGTGGAAATGATGATATAAATCTGTGCTGCGATCTGAAGCTAAATTTTCTTCATCACAGATATCTGGCAGAAGAGATCAAGAAAAGAGAAGGATTCCGTCTGCTGATGGAAGTAAGTTAATTCACACTAAACCACTAAATTTCATGTCATTACGAACTATGAAAAGAAGCATTTCATTCATGTTTTTATTTATTTATAGAAGTGCATACATCTCAATTTTATATCTCTACAGCCTGAATATGCAAATATTTGCTTCTGGTACATTCCACCCAGCTTGCAAACCCTTCCAGATGGCCCTGAGCTCTGGGAAAAGCTCCACAAAGTAAGTCGTTAACCACCTAAAAGTGACATTCTAAAATTTGACGATGACCAAATCCTCCCGTGTGTTTTGTGCCAGTCATTGCAGTGTTTCCTCCCTCCTCCTGCAGGTGGCACCTGTGATCAAAGAGCGCATGATGAAGAAGGGCAGCATGATGGTGGGCTACCAGCCACACGGAGAAAAGGCCAACTTCTTCAGGATGATCATCATCAGTCCTCAGGTCAGCAGGCAGGACATGGACTTTGTCCTGGATGAGATCAACAATCTGGGAAAGGACTTGTGATGACTCTCCAGCTTTGCACATCAGGGGCAGGCTTGTTGAGAACAGGGCCGGTTTTACCACCACCATTATGGAGCCCCCTCCACCTTTCAGTTTTCACTTCCTTTTGTTGTTTACAATAAATTTATTTAATCTATTTAAATGTAAGTAAGGCAGGGAAGTGATATAACGACAGGGGCAGAGATGTATGTTTGTTTGCCTGCTACCTGATTTCCTCTTGATTAATTTTTATGCCACAGTTTTTATATGTGAGAGTGACATGCTGTTTTTCTTTTTATTAAAGTCCCAAAACTGATTTCACTCATCAATTTGTGAATGGCTCATTAATCCGCTAGCTTGCACTAAGAGTGCTCACATAATCCAACAAAGATGTGTTAATGTTTTACCAGAACACAGCAGCTGGTCAGCAGAGGCCCCACACAATCACATGCATTCATGTTTATCTCGCTAAGTGAGCATATCTTTGTAGATGCCAGTGACCTAAAATCCTTTGTGACTCTGCAGAAGTTCATAATGGAAGCAGCAGCTGGCAGCAGGGTATTTAAGTCAACATCAGAGAAATACCCCAGCGAACTTGAAATAAAGTATCTTAGCTGGCTTCTTTTCACAAATAAATGAATCTTTATGCAGGGCCCAGAATGAAAGGAAGACAAAAGCAAACAGAGATAGCAGACAAAATATATCTACACACACATATATGTATTGTATGTAGAATGTATGACATGCTGGTGGTGGTGTGTGAAAAATATCCACAAACAAATGCAACCAAAGCCACAAAAACGACAGATAATAGAATAATTATTAAAATAAAACTTCAGTCTCTGTGGTAATGTGCCACTAACAACTGGTCAAGTATCACATCCATGCCTTTTCCAGACTCATACAGTAAATGCATCACACACATTGATGTAACCAGATTCTTACCCTGGATGGCATTACCTTGGCCTCCAGTAACACTGCGAGGAACCTTGGAGTCATTTTTGACCAGGACATGTCCTTCAATGCACAAGTTAAACAAATATGTAAGACTGTGTTCTTCCATTTGTGCAACATCTCTAAAGTTAGAAATATCCTGTCTCAGAGTGACGCTGAAAAGCTAGTTCATGCATTTATTACTTCCAGGCTGGACGACTGCAATTCATTATTATCAGGATGTCCTCAAAACTCCCTGAAGCCTTCAGTTGATCCAAAATGCTGCAGCAAGAGTCCTGACAGGGACTAGAAAGAGAGAGCAGATTTCTCCTGTACTGGCTTCCCTTCATTGGCTTCCTGTTAAATCCAGAATTGAATTCAAAATCCTGCTCCTCACATACAAGGTCTTGAATAATCAGGCCGCATCTTATCTTGATGGCCTTATAGTACCATATCACCCCATTAGAGCACTTCGCTCTCGCACTGCAGGCTTACTTGTTTCCCCCGTCCCCCCAGAGTATTTAAAAGTAGAATGGGAGGGAGAGCCTTCAGTTTTCAGGCCCCTCTTCTGTGGAACCAGCTTCCAGTTTGAATTCAGGAGACAGACACTATCTCTACTTTTAAGATTAGGCTTAACACTTTCCTTTTCGCTAAAGCATATAGTTAGGGCTGGACCAGGTGACCCTGAATCCTCCCTTAGTTATGCTGCAATAGGTGTGAGCTGCCGGGGGATTCCCATGATGTACTGAGTGTTTCTTCTTCAGTCGCCTTTCTCACTCACTATGACCTCTCTGCAATGAATTACACTTGTTATTAATCTCTGGCTCTCTTCCACAGCATGTCTTTTATTCTGTCTTCCTTTCTTTCTAACTTAACCCTAACCGGTCGCAGCAGATGGCCCCGCCCCTCCCTGAGCCTGGTTCTGCTGGAGGTTTCTTCCTGTTAAAAGGGAGTTTTTCCTTCCCACTGTTGCCAAAGTGCTTGTTCATAGGGGGTCATATGATTGTTGTTTTTTTCTCTGTATGCATTATTGTAGGGTCTACCTTACAATATAAAGCACCTTGAGGCAACTGCTGTTGTGATTTGGTGCCGTATAAATAAAATTGAATTGAATTAAATTCACATTGACTTTTCACCTTCTAAGAAATATAAGTGTTTCCTCATTTTATCCTACTAAATATTTGTGTGAATAATTACTACATAGGTTGATCTTGTTTTATGACCAAAGCTGCACTTTGTGGGTTTACAGTGACCCTGATGTTTCATGCTAAAATTGAAGAAATTTCCCTCAAAGTATCTTTGACACCATGTCATGTTCACAAGAATGGGATGGAAAACATGAAGCATTTGGCTGTTACTGGCCTGCATAACAATGCATAACATAATTATTCAGGGAGCGAAAACACATGGGCATTACTGAAAGACAAATATATATTTAGATAAAACAAAACAAAACACAAATGTTATACAGCGTGTGGAATTCTGACATTTATTTTAGTTGTCTGGTTGGTATTTACAGATGAAATATTTACAGATAATCAGACATCTTTGTTATTAAGTTGCATCACTCATCTGATAGTGCTGTGAAAATTCCTGACAGATCCATCTGTGCCATAGGAAGGCTCTTTGCATACGCCGATCATTAATCACAAGTCCTTTCCCAGATTATGGATCTCATCCAGGACAAAGTCCAGGTCCTGCCTGCTGACCTGAGGACTGATCACAACCATCCTGAAGAAGTTGGCTTTTTCTCCAAGAGGCTGGTAGCCTGTCATCATGCTGCCTGTCTTCATCATTCGCTGTTTCACCACTGGGGCCACCTAGAGGAGCAGGGTAGAAACTGCAGTGACTTTTTACTCCATATTAATGTACCAAAAGCCGGCAGCAGTGTGGGAGAGGGTCACACTTTTCTTGTTTATCACAATAGAATTCATGCATTTGCCAAACTAAAACTGAATAATCTCTTCATGTCAGCATTAGAATACATTAAAATAACCCTCTGCAGTGATGAACTCCTTACAGTGTGGAGCTTCTTCCAGAGCTCAGGACTCTCGGGAAGGTTCCTCAGGCTTGGCGGAAGGTACCAGAAGCAAACATTTGCAAATTCAGGCTGCAGAGAAAAACAGTTTAAATAATACTGCCTTAAAGATAGAAATGAAGGTTAGCTTTAGGGGTTTAGTTTCAAGTCATGTATGAATATGCAAGTACGTACTTCCAGCACAAGACGGAAACCTTCTCTTTTCTTGATCTCCTCTGCAAGATACCTACAATTGCATCACGTCAGGTTTCAGTGTTCAGTTTAAAAAAGAGACAGAAATCAAAATGTCTTCTTGATTGATCTGAAATTTTAATATTACAATGAAACGTGGTTGCACTGCCTTCTACATTAAGGAAACTGGGAAAACTGTACTTGTTATCAGCAGTCATGGCTGTGAGACAGTAAACGTAAAAGTTAAATATAACTTTACTGTGAAGGACAACTGATAATTTCTATTTGCCCACACTGACCTTGCCATGGCGAGGGCTCTGTCCACCCTCTGCTCCAGCTCTCTGCTTCCCAAAGCCTTCCACATGAGCCAGAACTTGAAGGCGTCTGGCTTCCTGCTGCACTGCACCGACTTGTCCCCCGTGTCGTAGCTGACATCGTAGAACTTGTCCTGCTGGAAGAGATAAGAGGCCCGAGCAGAGTGGCAGCGCTGCAGGAGACTCTGAGGGAGCAGAGTGAGGAAGACTTAACATGAAAAAAGAAATTTCATCTCTTGTGATTATACTGAAATGAAAACACAGGATAGAGGATGTGAAGGGCATCTGTCCCAGCTGAACACCTGACTTGATGTGGCACATCATTGTGGATCATTGGGACATTGCTGTCACTCTTGCTGGTTTTACTGGTGGTATTCATTTTTTCATTTAGCAAATATGACTTATCAGACTTATCAGACTCACCGTTTTGTCTCTGACCAGGAAAGCAGAGCACTGCAGAGAGGCCATCAGCATCTTGTGAGGGTTCCAAGCAACAGAGTCAACTCTTTATCAAACAAATGAAAGATGACAGAGCGAGGTTACATTCCACCTTAGTAGGCTGCAGTTCTACAAGTTTACGTTCTTCTTTGAAGCCCAAATTTACCAGTAACAGAAAAGTTGGTTTGCAGATGTATAGATAGTATGTCTTGATCTTTTGATAAAGAACGAAAATCACAAGATAAAATTATAGGGACTACAATAAAAATCTGCACGATTAAATGACAACGCTTACTTGTAGAAATTAAAATATATTTCTATGTATTATACAGAGAGTTGCAGTTGTGTGTCACGCTGAAAAAAATCAGCTACTACATTGTATGTTTAGGGGGATTTGTACGTAGTGTTTACCTGTGGATGCCCTTTAACAAGTGTTTATGCTTCTTAGACATGATAGCTGCTCCTCCCCAACATGCCTGAGCACAGACAGACAGAAGAGGAAAGTACTGATGAGCAACGCTGAGCGACAGGAGGGATTAAATGAACGACTTGATTAAATAATGAGCTCACATCCACATGTAGCCACAAGTTGTGCTTCTCACAGATGTCAGCAATTTCGTCGATGGGATCGAAGGCTCCGAGCACCGTGGTTCCTGCGGTGGCGTTTACCATGAAGGGAACTGCACCCTGTGCACACAGAATGAGATATTATCCTTTGGCTCATTTCCCATTTCAAGACTCTTTGTATGGTAGCTCAGGAAAATAAGATGGTTGACTAACCTCACTTTTTGCCAACTTTATTTTCTCCTCAAGGGCTGAGGGAATCATCCTTCCTCTGAAAACGACACGAGACAACCTCAATTCAGTCACTCTACTCTGTCTCTCTGCATTCATAGATTATCAGGAATTTTAAAGAAAAAAGGAAAGTGCGTGAAACAGACAGTGCACCTCTCATCAGTTGGGACAGTATAAACATTCTTCGTGCCGATCCCCATTAAAGCTGCTCCTTTGGAAATGGAGTAATGACACTGAAAGAGATTAAGCAAGAGTTTGTCAGTAAATATGCATGCCTGTGCTGGTTGCCGGCTTCCACAACCACACCAAATACTTCCAGATAACTCATGGGTTTTATTTTAATGTTTCCTAATGAATTACTCTTTAATCTTGAATGAAGCAAGGAAACCGTTTACTTCAGTTAATATTTGTATGAAACAGGCTACAGTATCACTGCTTTCCAGCATTAAACTTGTGCATTCAGCTCAGTTTGTTTGTATTTCTAAAGGACCGAATCACAATAGTTGCTTCAAGGTGCTTTACATGTACATTCCCTACAATATTTCAGAGAAAACCCCAACAATCATATGACCCCCTATGAGCAAGGCAAAGAAAAACTCCCTTTTAACAGGAAGAAACCTCAGAAAGAACCAGGTTCAGGTTAAGGGAGGGGTG